TTATCATAGCTCGGATATTTTCTTTACCTTGAGTTGTTAGTACTTTTTAATCAGTTTGTTTTTTTGTTTCTATTTCTATTTTTTCCCTCCTATTGTTTCCCTTTTTTGTGATGTCAAAAGTGGCAGAGTTCTGTTGTTGTTTATTTTTTAAATTATTTTTCTAAAAGGGGGAGGAATGTGTTATTATGTAGTTATGTGTTATTGTTTGGTTATTTATTTTTTCTTCTTTTTTAAAAAGTATATTATTTTTCTCACAATTTCTTATCATCTAAGGGAGAGTTTAGAGGGAAGAAACCTTTTGAAAATCCATAAACAAAAAAATGTTTTCCCTCATAAAAAAGAAGGAGATTACTACAAATCTGATCCAAGCACTATGATTTTGATAATAAGAAGCATTATTGTTTCTATTACTGGTTTCTCTAGATTCTTTGATATTTTGTTTTGTTTTGTCTGTACTAAAGTTTCAAAAAATTAGTCCACCATTCTCTGATTATTTTGATCAGTTCAAAACTTGGTAGACTAGGTTTTTCATCCACTTTTTAATTTTTTCAGTAAATCTTATTGTATAACTTTGGTTCATATTGTATGACTTTGGTTCGTACTATAAGACTTTGATTCGTACTATGCGATCTATTTTATTTTGTCAAAACCCTAGTAGTTAGAGGTTAAGAAAGATACTTATTTTATATTGATCATATAACATAATTTGGTTTTTATTGTAGACCTAATCAACATCTTTCTTAATTAATCCCTCAAAATTAGGCAATCACATCATGACATTTATGATCAGTCGATTATACTATACAACACCGTTCATACAATTTGAATGAGGGAGTACGACTTTGGTCATCCTAGAGCTTATACCAAATGAAAGGAATGAGTTTTTTATTGATCGTATGGTATGATATCAATTGTGTTGGATGATTGACAGTATATGAAATTGGTCATCAATGATAACAAACCAACTGAAAGTTTGTTTTTTTTTTACTTTTCATAATGTATGATGTCCACAATGCTGGATGAACGACACTGTACAAAATTGGCCATCCCAAAAGTCATCCCAAATAAACATATGGAATTTCTATAGTTCATACCAAAAGATCTTATGATAGTAAAGTACGAAGTGTTGTTAGTTCTAAATAGTTCGTCTGAAGGACCACTAGACAAACCTAGTTTTTTACTGATAGTACTATATGATTCTTGTATTATATGGTACGAACATAAGACGTAACTCATGAAATGAGGATTTCTTAAAACCCACTACTTAAGGTTTTTTAATACTCTTATTAGAAAACCTTTGGCTATTTAGACTTCAAGAAAGAGAGTCTTGAGGGAGAAAAGAATGAGAGCTTTGTTAGAGAAGTGAGGGAGATTTATTGAGGGAGAAGTTGTCAAGGGATTCACAAGGTTTCTCATAGAAAAAAATCTTACCTAATATCTATAAGAATTTTCATGGATTCTTTGTGGCTCCTAAAAAGAAGTTCTTCAGCAAAGGTCGTGGTTCTCATACCATCACTAGAGGGTAAAAATAAAGTTGTGATTCTCTGCCTGTAAGAGAGTCAAGGTTCTTTGCCTGTGAGAGAGTCAAGGTTCTCTATCATGCTTTTTTTTTTTAGAAAAAGCATAAAAGCTTCATTAAAAAAATGATTACATCCTAATGGCATTCAATTCCTCCTTTAACACTTTAGTAAAAGTGGGAGGAATCTTATTCAACACTAAATCATCCCAAATGAATGAACTAAAAATTGCATAGTTAGCACATAGGACCGCTAACATATTGCACTCTCTTTTAACACAATTGAAAATAACATAATTGAAATCTTTAATAAAAGATAAATCTCCCAATTCATTGTTACCTTTTCTCATGATACCTTGAATAAAATTAATGATGTTCTTATTATCACCTTCTATGATTATTCCCTTGTAAGCATACATCCATTCTTTAGCCACCTCCTTGAAAGAAAGAATGGCTTGAAGTTCCAAGTAAGAGATATCCTAATGGATAAGCTTTTTACCAAATGCCAACAAAAATCTTCCTCTATGGTCTCGAATTACTACCCCAATCCCAGCCTTATATGAAGAACAAAGTGAAGCATCAAAGTTTACCTTTATCTAATCAGGTGGAGGGGGATGCCAAATATCATCAAACAACCTGACCTGGTTGTTGACATCCCAGATACCCGAGTTCATACCATTTGAATGCTGAGATACTGCTGTATAACTCATTGCATTGGTTGCTATCACCCAAGAGCTAAATCGGCTGCCATCATGAACTAGTTCATTTCTAGCTCTCCATAATAAATATACCAAGTTACAAAAGAGACCAGTCAACCATATATTTTTGCTATGAAGCCATATGCAACAAGTTTCAAAATAATTAAAACTAGTAATTTGAAAACCCCATTTGTTTAAGAGTTGAATAGCTTCTCTTACTTTCCAGCATTTAGTGACTAAATGCTCAATGTCCTCAGCCTCCTCACACCCCCATGGGCATCTCTCCATACTTTGTAGTCTTTTGTGACATAGAAAATGATTCATAGGAATAGCCTTTTAAAGAAGTCTCCACCCAAAGTTCTCCACTTTAGAACTTAGATTAAGTTTTTTCAACCAATCCCATTCATTTGAGGTTGAAGGTTGATCTTCCGAATACATAGTAGCCATTGTTTAATTTACATGGAATCATATGGATTACTTCTATCTTATCTTCTTCCTCTTCATATGAAATTCAAATGTTAGTAATTAATTTTACAAGTTCTGGTCCACAGAATTCATCCAGCTTCACTACATTCCAGCTCCCATTGCTAATCAAGCTATCTACCGAGCATTCACTACATTCACTGCACTCCATTGCTTGCACAAATGTTGGCCATTTGTCTAAACTTTTATCCAATAACCACTTATCTTTGAAGACATTCACAAATTTCCCATTTGCAAATATCCATTTGTCAATTGGTTTTAGGAACTTCACTCCACTTCTAATTAGTTTCCAAGTTACTGAATCTAAATTACTCGAAGAATAGCTGTCCATAAATGTGACATATTTAGGGAATAGGATCTTGTGCATCAATGCATCTTTATCTTGAAAATACTTTGAAGCCAATTTTGCTCTCAATGGCCCATCTTTCTTTGAACAGGGAACTAAACTACATCCCCCTTGAGTCTTCTGTTTATATAGAGAATCCTAGCTTACATAGTGAATCCCATTCCTTCCATCAAACTTGCTCCATATAAATCTCCTGCATAACTTGTCAATTTCATTCAAAATACTTTTGGGAACCAAAGAAAGGGATGAATGGAATGTGGGAAATGATAGCAACACTGATTTGACCAAAGTTAATCTTCCTGCCAAAGAGATAAAATTCCCTCCCCATACATTTAACATGCTTGGAACTTTTTCCAACAGAAATTGGAAATCAGCTTTGACAAGTCTTCTCAAAGCCATTTTAATGCCAAGGTATGAGATTTCCTTTATTTCCCTTAAGTCCATGACTCTAGCAATCCTTCTCCTCTTTCTTCTCTTGACATATTTTCCAAAAAGCACTCCATATTTTTTTTTTTGAATTCGCACTTCGACCCATCCATCTATAAAAGTCTATGATTGTACTTTTAACCTCCTTCACCATTTTCATTCTACCTTCCGAAAAAATGATGATATCATCGACATAAAGTAAATGGGAGATCAAAGGCCCATTAGTAGAAATTTGAATGCCAATTGAATCCTTCTTTTGATAGAATGCATTGGAAAGTAATTGATCACATAAAATAAACAAGAATGGAGACAACGGACACCCTTGATGAAATCCACTCTTTTCTTCAATCCAAATAGATAAGTTTCCATTGATAGATAATGAACAATAAGGACTATGAACACAATCCATGACTAGATTAGAAAAATTGATTGGAAAGCCAAAATACTCCAAATCCTTGCATAAAGTAGGCCAACCCATTGAATTATAGGCTTGTTGCATAACTATTTTAATAGAAACTAAACGTTTGGAAGATTTAGAGTACCTGAACTTGTGGAAGATTTCATGGGCTACCAATACATTATCTGATAGTGATCTACCTTTCAAGAATGCCACTTGCTCTACCTAAATTAGTATATGAATAACAAGCAATATTCTATTCAAAATCATCTTTGCAGCTATCTTGTAAACAAAGTTACATAAGCTGATCGATTTAAAGTTGGAAGGAGATAAAGGGTTTTTTAACTTAGGAATCAGCACTATAATAGTTTCTTTCCACTCCTTGTACATCATTCCAGTTTGAAGAAGTGATACACTGCATTCCAAAGATCTACCATGATTATAGACCTATATGCCTTGAGAAAGGAATAAGAAATCCCATCTTTGCTCAGAGCAATGTTTCCACCCAGCTCTTGGATAACCTTATCCATGTCTTCAAATGAAAACTCTCTGTTTAATACCAAAGAGACTTCTACACTTAATGTCTTCCACGGTTTAGGCCATCCCAATAAAGAACACTCCCTTTCTTTCCACTTTTCCTTGAAATAGTTGTTGAGAACATTTTCCACCTAAATTTGTTCTTCCAAAATAAATGCATTCTCATCCTTAATTTTGTGCTTAAAATTTATATTCCTCCTCGCACTGGCATAAGCATGAAAGAATATAGTGTTTGAGTCCCCTTCCATCAGCCATTTCACTTTGGCTCGTAGCCTCCACCATGTACAAAGATGAGCTAATGTAGAATTCAGATTATCCATTTTTACCTAAAGTAGCCAAGCCTCCTCTTCATCCAGAAAACTGATTTCAGCTTCCTTAGTTTGTAATTCCAGGATTTGTTTCTTCAGCTCCTCTTTCAACTCATTTAGCTCTTTATACTTGGCTTTATTCCAATAAAACAATGCTTTTAATGCTCTATTAATTTTTTGACTCAAAATATAAGAAAGATTACCACAAACTTTTCTCCCCCATGCCTTCTTAACAATGGTCAAAGAGGCTGGATATGATGCCCACAGCACTTCAAACTTTATCTGCTTCTTACATGTCTTGTTGAACTAATAAATTCAGCAAAATTGGACTGTGATCTGATGTGATCCTTGCCAAATGCCTCACCACCATCCGTTGGGACAAGTTCATATCCGCAGAGTTGAGAAGGCACATATCCAACTTCTCAAGTATCCTCTCAACTCCCTTTTTGTTGTTGCACCATGTGAACATAGGACCAATGCTCTCCACTTCATGTAAATCATTGCAAGTAATAAAGGACTTCATCTCCTTAGTACCAAGAGAATAAACAAACTCCCTTCCTCCCTTCTTCTCCTCCCTTGATAGCAAACAGTTAAAATCACCACCCACTATCATAGGGACTTCCTTAGACACATGATACTCCAACCTTTCCCAAAGACACCTTCTTTTATAAGTGTCCCTACTTCCATATAATGTTGCAATCTTCCACTTCCCTTTATTAAGCACCTCCAACTTCCCAACCACAAATTGTGAAGAGGACTCCAGTACTTTGAATGAGGCCATATTTTTCTTCCATAACACAATGATTCCTCCGGATAAACCTTTAGCTGGGACAAGAAAATAGTCCCAATCCATTCCTATCAACATATTCACATCTTTTCTATCTATTAAAGATAGCTTAGTTTCAAGTCACCCAAGAAAGAACACTCCATACTCCTTAGTAAACTCTTTTAAATATAGGGAAGCTTTTATTTTTTAGCTCCCCTACAATTCCAGAAACCTATGGATAATTTCATTGATTAGTAGGGGGAGATTTCCCCAGATTCTCCATCAGATCACCTTCCCCCCTTCTATTCCTTGAGACCAATTCAATTGGCCCCAAACCTTTATGTTGCTTCAAACCTTTCTTCCTTGCAATGGCTGAATTGTTCCCTGGATTGTTCAACTAAGCTTTAATCTCAATAACATCCCCCTTATCAATGACTTCATCTTCATTTATAATCACTGGAACATTAGGAAACTCCATTTCCTTGTTTTTTAGATGATCCATTTCTTCTAAAATTTGATTCAACACATCAAATTTATTGGCAATGTTAAGATTGACTGTAGAGTTAAAAGAAGCAACTCCTTTTACGGGTTCATCATACATCTTATTCTGAGAAGGAATAGAATTTGATTATTGTTCCAGAACCTCTACCCAAGAGCTTGATTTCATCATGATACCTTCATTCTATTTTCCTGCAGCATTATCTGATTTCTTCATGTTATTCTTAATACCATCACTCTCCTTTTCTTTTGATCCCAAAGACTTATTTGACTCCTTCCAACCTAGTCTAATCCAGGTATTCTTGAATTTAAGACTCCTGAATCTTCTTTTCCCATGATCTACATGAATCCAGGGACCATAAATCTCTTTATCAATTATATTTACTTCTTCATTTATAGACCTTTCATTTGGAATAAGATTTTCTAATGCAGCCAATCCTTCATAGGATACTTTTGACTGAATATCATCCGGCTTGATTATTGCAACAGTCTTTACACAGCCCTCATCACATGCCCAAATTTTCCACATATGAAATAGAAATAAGAAATCCTTTCATACTCAAATTTTAGATAGAATTTACCAAAACCTCCTTCCACCCATGCTCACATAGGCAACTTATTCTCAAGCATGATCTTGACACAAATCCTGGCAAACTCCCTTCTTCCCCATTGAAACATGTTTTCATTAACTAAATATGGAGTTCCAACCATTGAAGAGATTCTATAAACATTAACTTCATCCCAACATTGTAAGGGAAGGTTTGGTATCCTAATCCATACAGGTTCTCTGTCACACTGGGTTGGTGAAATAGCACATATACGGGCATCTCCGCCTTGCTGTGAGAGAAAAAGGTGACTTATTATTGTTTAGTGCAATACTTGGAGAGGAAGTCTCCAAGGAGTGCACGTAGGTCAGGTTGACTGAGCTCTTGTGTGTTCGTTCTGATAATTTTTTGCACTTTATTTTTTTAAAATTATATGTATGGTTAAAAAATCTAATTTATTTTGTTGTTATGAAATTTGCTTATTTCAACTTCCATTGTATAGATTAATGCGTGAGGTGTGAAAAGTTTTTAAATGTTTCATTTTTCCTTAAATTATTTTTAAACAACTAATCCCCCCCGCCCCCCCTCTAGGTCAGCCCCGGGCTAGTTCATCAAGGTCTAACAACCTTCATAAACTATCACCATCTACTTTACACTAAATCAAAGAAAATAGTTTAGTTCTTCCATAACACTCTCCTCAAAATCTTTACTTATTATTTTTGAAAATTTATCACATAAGTTTTTATCTAAGGATTCACACAAGATATCATCAACAAAAATTTGGACAATAAGTAATTCTTCTCCTACCTTTTTTAGAAATAGGGTGGTGTCTACACCACCATTAACAAAAGCTCTATTTAGAAGGGATGTGTTTAGCCTTTCATACCATGGTTTAGGTGCTTGTTTTAGTCCATAAAATGCCTTCTTTAACTTGAACATATGATTTGAAAATTGTGAATTTTCAATGTATGGGGTTTGCTCAACATGAATGTCCTCTTTAAGTGCCCCATTTAGGAAGGCTCTCTTAACATCCATTTGATACAATTTAAATCTATTAAAGTAGGCAAAATCTAATAGCACTATAATGGTTTATGTTGCAACTTGAGCTCTTAAGTTTATGTTTTTGATGATAACAAACATTATGGCTCACATTTATATGTCTAGTTGTATTTGTAATGTATATTTGTTTGTGTGAGTACTAATATTTCAATAATGTCATGCACCATCCAACGATGATTAAAGACTCAAGATTGGGTAGAATAGGTTCTACTATTAGGATTTTTATATCCTCTCCTCTCGTGACTATTGGAAATGCTACATCAGAGGATGATTTTTAGTAGTTTAGAGCACTGGGACTCCATCTAACCTAGTGGGTTGTCTTCTTGCTCATGCCCCACCCCCCCCCCCCTCTAAAGAGAGAGAGAGAGAGAGAGAGAGAGAGAGAGAGAGAGAGAGAGAGAGAGAGAGAGAGTAATAAGGCAACACATTTTTATGCCAAGAAAGCTATTGGAGGACATTTTTTGTGAAAATATGGGGATGTAAATTATTTGTAATTGCATGAAGAATGTCTTAATATTTTTAAGGATGATTACTTCTTTAGTTCATTTATTTCTTAGTGGTCATTTTTGGCTTTTTTTGTTTTTATTTATTCAGTCCTTTTAACCTTTATTTTATTTTGCAATAAAGCAAGAATTTATGTAATATTTATTGAAGTTTTTGTTTGATTTCTTGAGTCAAGTCTTGTAAGGGTGTATGCTAGCTTGTTGACCATGGGGAGTGAGATTGAGTTAAAGATAAAAGTTTAAACTTTGCACAAATTATACTATATGATTTATATCTTATTGTATGATCAACTCATCTACCTAATTGTATTGGACAATTTAGATTATCCAGGATGATCAGTTATAATCATAAAAAAAAAAATCTTCTAATAATAATTTAGACAAGGTTTTAAATTTCATATTTCGTTCTAATTGTTCAGGATGATGTACATCCTATTGGATGATTAATGAAAATCATTCATAAATTGATCATATGATTAGTCAATTGAATCTACTTAATTTTGATATCGTACTATATGAACTAGAACATATTAGATAATCAATAGAGATGATTTTGGTCATCCCAAGTTTCATCCTAGATGTACTATATTTTGATAGAACTAATCATCCTGGATGATCTTAATATCATACTGGATGATCTGTTCACATACTTGAATAAATCATACAGGGCAATACTAAATGTACTAACTAAAAGAGCTATTTTAAACTAATTATATAAGGCAATCTCAGGATCATAGTATACAATATTTAATGATAAAATTAAATTTTTAGGGTTTTTCAAAGCCCTCTATTTAAGCTTTCTCCAAAGATATTATAAGTGTCTTTAACAGCCATTGTGTCTTCATTCTTTTAGAGAATCTTAAAGAGAGAACTTGAAAGGTCGAGAAATGGGTGGATTTTAAGAGGGAGAAGATCTTTGGAGGGAGTTTCAAGGGAGTGTGGAGGAGATTTCACATGGTTTCTCTGGCAAGCTTGCACCTTATTACCATCGAATTCAAAGTTCCTCTTGAGGGAAGTTTTGGGAAGAAGATGATCTCTTTAGTGTCAAAGGACCCAACTACTCCACCGCTTATGGGATGGTGAATGGGATTCATTGTTAGCTACCATCTCCCGGATGGAGAAAAAAGTGTCAAGGTTCTTTACCTTTGAAAGGAGTTTTGATCATCTGCCGCACTGGGTTGATGGAAAGATTTTGTAAGGGCTTTCCTGCCTTACTGTGGGACAAAGGAGAGACACTAAAATGTTTTAGTGAAATACTCGGAGGGTGTCTTTAGGGAGTGGAAGCAGGTTAGGTTGAACTAAGCCAGTATAAATATGACGTGTTCTTTACTTTTATTATTTTTACATTTATTTTTCTAGCGACTAATTGCATGGATGAAAATATTGATTTATGTTTTTATTATGAATTTAATTCATTTCCTCATCGAGTTATAAAAGGATTTTTTGGTGTTTAAGGATGTTTTTAAATACTAATTCACCACCCTTTTTATTATCCTCAGGACTAGTTCTTTAGGGTTTAACACCCCTCATGAACTTTTAAGTGGTATCAGAGCGAGATTCAAAAATAAAGTTTTAGAAAACTTTTGGAAAAACAATTAATGGCTAACTTTGGAAATTGTAATATTACGAAAGGATGTTCAATCAAATAACTACCTTTATTTGAAAATATTTCTTTTAATTTTTGGAAAATTAACCTGTCTTTTTCTTGTGATTAATTGATTATCAAATGTGGCATATGATTCAAACTAGTTATTTTGTACCATTATATATTCTAGTTGGAGTCAAAACTGATATTATTTTTGCTGAATAGAGTAGAGTAGCATAAAGGATTACTCAATTGAATGCTAAATCTTTAAACTATTTTTTTTATACTTTTAATTTTGAAGGTTGTATGTTAGTATTTACATGCACTACTGGTAAGAAAATTTAGGATAAATTATGCACTACATACAAAGGTACTAGTGAAACCAAGCAATCCAAATTGAATATTTTAATGCTTGATTATGAATTATTTTGCATGAAACCTTATAAGACTATTTTAGGCATGTATACAAGATTTACTCAAATATTAACATCATTACAAGCCTTAGGTAAAGAACTTTCAAACTTTAAAAAAGTCGATAAAATTCTACATTGTCTACTTAAAAAATTTAATGCCAAAGTTATTGCTATTTTTAAATCAAAAAATTTGAATGACTATTCTATTGATAATTTGATTGGCTCACTCATTATCTATAAGAAAAGTTTGCATCAAAGATGTTTGGATGCATGTAAAATAATATTACTAAAAGATGGATAGATGGATAAGAATGGCTTAGTAGATAATAAGAGCAAGAAGATAGGCTCAATAATGTGTGAATTTGAAAAACTATTGAAGCATAGACACTTGCATCAACAAAAGTGGATCAAAGATAAAAATGTTAAGAATTTTTAGAATTTCTTTAGGCATTATTTATTTTTGGTGTAGGAAACCCAAACATAT